GATGGAACAATTGTTGTGGTTTACAAGATGCTTGTCATTTGTACATGCTGTTCTTTTGGCAGGCAAATAAAGTGTGGAGCAGCGAAGAAGAATGTCCTCAGCATTCGTCTTTTATGGGCAAAAAGCCGAAGCAACAGCAGGGGCCTGCGGCACACACCGCAAACCAGAACAAGGTGAAGTATTACCCAAGAGTCACGGCCTTAGGAATTTTTAAAAGTTAATAACATTTTTTTTTGGGGGGGGGGGGGGGGGGGGAAAATAAAATCCACAAATATTGAAAAAGGGGTCGTGAATTACATAGGTTAGGAATACGATTATGAAAAAATCCCCCCTCCCCCATAAAATGAGAAAGCTTTAAACGAATGTATTGCTTTTGCCTATTTCAAGAATTCTAAATTAGGAATTTACGCCTTCTTTTCAGGTGCAGCTTCGTGGAGAAATCCTAAGACAGTTACGGGAACTGAAAGATTTAAAGGATGCTGATGTCTTGGACTCACACAATTTGAGAATCAGAAGCGCATCCTGTTAACGGAGCTGAATGGGCTCCAGTAAACAGGCACAATCCTGCGCTTCATTACATTGTTTTGTTATAGTGTAAAATCAATAATTCTGACAACGATTGCTAAAATTAAAACCAAATTTATGTCGGGAAAGTTAAAACACACAAGAGAACACACTTTTGTTTTTGTGGGCGTAATAATCATGAATAATAAAAATCGTGAAATTACGTGAAAAAACTCGGCTTTTATTTCTTGGTCTGTCAAACACAAGAGTTAAATGTCAATCGTTCACAGCCTGGCCTAAATCTTGCCACTTTAATCAGGGAGGGTTAATATACATACTGGCTTGTCGTCGCCGTTGGGCCACTGAGGCAAGAGGGCGGGACCCGCTTAAGTACAAATTAAGCACGGCAGGCCTAAAACATAGGTACTAGTGGGCTAACAGGTCAGTTTGAGGGCTGGTTGACTAATCACGTCCCTGTAGAGTGCATGTTAGTTTACAGATATTCAGAGTGTCGAATGTAGTTTCGCACTTGCTCGTCGAAAACGCTTAAAAATCCCTCCATGACCATGTTTTCGAGTTGATCACACATTCGCCATTCTTGATCATTTTCTCTGATCCACGACTTCACTTCCGAAATTATTCCCTCACACGGCATGAAGTCGGGGCTGTATGGAGGGAGGTAGACGAGTAGAGCACCAGTGGCGTTTTTTTTCTCACAACGTCGGCAGTATGGTGAATCGCAGCATTATCTGTTTTCAAAATAATAACAGAAAGGAAAAGGTTAATAACTCAACTTTTGTTTTCAATGCATCTGCGCCTGGCCGAAATCCTTCTACCAAAATTACAGCTAACGCCTGTTTAACGTTCATTTTCCACTTGCTATTGAACAGTGTATTGACCTTGGTATCTCTGTAATGATTCTTAAGTGGACTGGCTGCTTTTGTGAGATAATAATCACTATATAAAAGTAAAAAGAATGGTAAGGTATCAGTCTGCATGGTTAATTGAGCCTATACATCTTTTTCCAAAGAACAATGAACTTACCCATTACAACGATCGAGCGCGGATTGATCCCGTTAAAAGGATTGACATTAGGGGCCAAGTGGTCATGAACAAAATCCAAGAAGACATCACTGTTAACATTTCCGCGATAGATCCCTACATCAAGGAGGCCTTCTGTTGAATCGATGGGAATGGCTGAAATGCGTGGACCCCAATTAGCATGTGGCCGTACTACCTCCGCCCGCATTCCACGAAAACTTCGGCCGTACTTTCTGCTGATCCGCTTGTCCTATGAATAACCAAAATAACCCAAACATGCCTTATTCATCAACGTTACGCATTGGGAAAGCGATTTTCAGGGTTTCGTTATGTTACAGAAATGCAAGTCAATTGGACCTTCTCGGCTTGTATGTTTTGTTTTCTCAATGCAGACCTCGAGCTGTTCTCAAGAGAATTTGCATTTTGTCGTCTCATAAATTATGCTTTCATGTGTTGAACACACACACATAGGATGATACAAGGTTAATGTAGCCCGCCGCTCCAATGAGCGATGTATAAAACCACAACAACAATGTAAACAACAACAGGATTTCAGTTAAGCCCAGTGACTTGTATTGGAGAACGGAAAAAGCAAGCGAAACAAAAACTCACTGCACTTTGCACTTTGAGGCAGGTTTTGAGGCAACAATTTCTTTGGCGTCAAATTGGCCAATTTCGGGACAAAAGTCAGCTATATCATCAAAATAGTTTATTCTAAGTATTTGTGGGATTTCCTTGGCTGGTGATCAACACTTCCAAAAAGAAAAATAAATTTTGATGCGATATGACTGTACATGTAAATAAGTCGCGTGCCAACTTACAAATCCACTCTCGTCCAAAAACACCAGCATATCAGCGTCAAACAAACAAATATTTGCCCAGTACATTTGTCGAAGTTCTTCATTTCTCTGCGACGCAATCTGTCGAACCTATAAATTGGACAAATCGTTAGGCTAATATAAGACAATTTAAACCACGCAAGTGGAAGGCAAATATTAAGATTACCTTTTTGCGTGTTATTCCATTGCGTTGGAAGTAATAATGAAGAGAGGAAAGGGCGAATTCGGAGCCTGTGCTTCTGTAAATTTGATCAAAAATCTCATTTAAGGACACTGTTGCATTTTCCAGTACTGCCTCCATAATTATAAGCTCTTCTGGCGGCTGGAAATGCAAGCTTCCCAGAGGTCTTCCGATCTTCTTTGCTTTCACATCACCAGAAACAAAATAACCATGTAAGTAGCGCTTAAGAGTCCATTTGGATATCCCAAGATGGAAACAGGTTTCTTCCTCTGAATACCCACAAAAATGCCTGATCCAAATCGCCCTCCAACGGAGGTCTTCAGAGTATGGCGCGGGCATGTTACAAACTACGCTTGCTCCCGTAATGCACCGCGCGCTATGAAACATGGATCATGCATCATGAATCATTCTTCGCCGAAGCAACCTTAATTGAAATAGGTGTATTTTAGTAAGGTTTTGTTTAATAACTCGCTAAGCAAACTTAAATTGCTAAGAAAACAGCTTCCGCTTAAAAAAATCTTCAACGAACACATCCACGATGCTGTTACTTTATGTTATTTTGAACCTTTGCATTTCAGGTAAGTTAAACAAAATTTTTATATAAATCGGTGTTCAGTTTTTAATCTATGGGGGAGAAGCCCTTGCGGCTAAACTCGTGTATTGTCAGTATCGAGGATAATCAAAGGCGGCGACCGAACTACAGAAGGAAGTGACAATTTATGGTTGTATTTCTTCAACTATAAAACTGCAGAATGGCTACAAAATTAAGAGTACATTATTTGATAACCTAGTTACATGGCATTCTTAAATTCATGGTTCTCAGAAAATTTGTTACCTGACTCAACGTTAATCAATTGATAAAAATTTTGCATATGCAGAAATTGATTTCACTCAAAACGAACCGCCAAACGACGAAAGCGAGACTGGTTATCGCCTGCATTTTAATGTGGCATTCACGAGACAGGTAACCTTCCTTGAATCGCATGAGCTTTTATAAGTAACCTTAAAACCCCATGCACTTACATTGCACGCTTGGGCTGCCTGTGAGGTCCTCTGATATCGTCTTTGCTTCAACTACCGACAAATTAGCAAAATAGGTCCTAAACAAGAGAATAGAAGCTCCCCGACATATGATTTATAATTTATCGAGCTGAATCTACGTTTAAGAATCGCATATAGTTGTTCTGGCCATTTGCATACTTACGAATTCTAGGAATATTTTGTGGTAAACAACGTTATTTCTTAGAATTGCACATTAACGATTTCAATACCGAGGGTTTATGGATGTTTCGTTTTCCTCTCGGTTAAAATAGTATCAGCATTTGTTTACACTCCTCAAGTACTTCCCATTTTTCTAGGAAAACTATTATTAGTGACATATTTGACACATGCGCAGCAAACTAGCCTAGGGGGGAAAATAAGGAATCGTAGAATGCGGAAATCTGGATGAGAGGACAATGTAACTATCAGACCTCGTTGTTGGATAGTGCTATATATCCATCGGATAAATCACTATCCAGCGGATAAACGGTAAAGGAAACCAATGCATTATCCGTATTACCCAGTGGAGTAGCGTTATCGAGTTTTGAAACAACTGGGGCCAGATAGTTAGCAGCCTAATAAGCTGCACAATGCTACAAGTACGATTCAACAAAATAAAAGGGAGGAAGCAGATCGCTACCGCTGGTTGTAAAAAAGCTTTCATTACCGAAAGCTTTTTAAGCACCGGATGAGTCTACGATCAAATTTGCTAACAAATGTAAAGAGAGAGAAAAAGCGCCGGAAAAGGGGCACCTGATCAAAGAAGGTCATTAGAAGTCATTGCTGTTACTGGATCTTGATATAAAGTCTGTAAAACAACTTTCATTTCAAATATCGTAAATTTCTGGAGGGCTGTGAGAGAGGCAGTGTTAAATTCAACACTGACGACACCTGTATGTGGCTTGAACATTTCTCACGGTTACGGTATTGCCGTAAGTGCGTTACTGACTGGATTGAATGTTTTGCTGATTACTTATCCCGAATGTAAACTAACAATTCAACCGGGTTTGTGAGCTCTTGGTAATTGAGCGGGGAGAGGGGGGGGAGGAGGCGGGATGGGTTGATCTTCTCAATCACATGTAACTTAAAACTAAGCTGATTATTGAGCTGTGGTTTACCGTATTTTTAATTGGCCAGCGTCACACCAGCAACAGCGTCCAAGGATTGTTTCAGGACCGAGTCATCCCGTGATTGGAAAAAAGCATGGAGACATAACATTTGACTGGACTTTCAAACTCCTCCCCGGAAGGACTTGGATCGAGAGCGTAGAAGATGTGGCTTTCGGGTTTTGGAAAGCACCAGGGTATCTACAGACAAAACTAATGGTTATCGACAAGCATGGGAAAATTATAACTCGACAAAACTAGGAGAACAAAATAAGCTGCATATTTAACATGTCTCGTCTGCAAGTCGCATTTACGGTTCATAATTTAAGCACAGGGGATGAGAACGATTATGGTCTTCACGTTGAGCTTGGCTTGGCACGGAACCCATTAAAAGATGCCGTTGCGCTTCGCTTAGAGGGTAATATCATATTTTTAAATAATGTTAATATAATATTATTAACTATCATTTATCATCAATTTAGTCATGATAAATGCTATCATATCATACTAAATATAAAAGAGCGAAACTCTGTTTTATCAGAAGCGTATAAATTGAATATAAAAGAATAGTTTCTGTGAGCGTTGTTAGAGATTTCCTCTTTCATTTCAAGACTTTTTTGTAGGAAGGCAGGGAGAAAGTTGTTTTAAAGTACGACTTGAGCTAATGGGCCTCTTTTCGTTGTACAAACACTTGTGAGAAGTGTTTTTATGGATTATTTATTTATTGTTATTGAAAATGTGTTTCATGTATGCATTTTCTACTGGCAGATCCACCAAAAATTGTCATTTCCCTGGAAAGAAACACTTCCCTGAGGGCTGGAGACAAACTGGTGTTGAACTGCAGGGCGACTGGACTTCCTCCTCCACAGGTCACGTGGGCACGGTCTGGAAGAGTTTTAAGAAATCATACCTTAGTTGTAAATCGAGTGAACAAAAGAGACGGTGGACTGTACTTATGCAAAGCTCACAGTACTGCTGGGGAGGATAGTATGAAGATTTTTGTTCGAGTTGAGGATGGAGATAAACCAACACAAGCAACAGGTAGGGAGATCTAGTAGTCATCTAGTGACCAGGGTTCCAGTGGCGGATCCAGGGGAGAGGCCCGGGGGCCCCGGGTAACCCCCTTAGTATTAGACCAAACGGTTGTTTTTAGACCACCCCCTCACCCCACTCCCCCGTTTATCTGTAGGTCTGGATCCGCCACTGAATTGTACACAGTTAGTGATACTGGAACACCTGATATTATTGTGTTTCCCATTTCAGTTTATTTTTGTCTATTCTACCTTCTAGCTGTATGTTCAAGTTATAATTAAAAGTTAATATCTAGACTCACTGAATAGTCAGTGAACTGCCAATATTCGTTAGCTGGGGTAAGACACGCTTTTAAGATTCTGCTGTTTTTTATCGCAAGCGATAATTATATAAATGACTTGCATTAGCAAAAACCCATCATAGAATGGGGAAAATTATTCACTACCGTACAGTTTACTTTATATACTTACTTCTTTTTCTGTTTTCAGTTTCAGCTTCTGGTGCAACTCTTTCACAACCCCGGCATAACAATCATAAGTGGATATCAATTTTGATATTGGCGGGCTCAACATTAATACTTGCATCGATAACATTGACAGTGATTTGTTATTACAAGCGCAGACGATTGAAAAAAGGCATTCCCTACTCTTCTCAGAGAGATTCTGAAACAACTGCTCAATTGTAGACCATTTCGTGCCTTTACCTAAAGCCACCATAAAGCTTGTTTCATTCGGATTGATCATGAATTCTAAAAAGATTGAGTATCAAGCAAAACGCCACTATTTTACTCCTTTCATTTTACTGGACATAGATTATGAACCAAAAAAACTTTCAAGCTTTTGTTGGACATTATAACCCTACTCTTCTCAGAGAGATTCTGAAACAACTGCTCAATTGTAGACCATTTGTCACCTTTACCTAAACCCACCATTAAACTTGTTCCATTCAGATTGATCATGAATTCTAAAAAGATTAAGTATTAAGCAAAACGCTACATTTTACTCTCCTTTCATTTTACTAGATATAGATTATGAACCAAAAAAACTTTCAAGCTTTTGTTGGACATTATAACCGTATCCTTATCCGTATTCGAACGTGGCTTTCTCATAAAAAATCCAGTTCGATGTCTGAGTCAAAGAAGGGACCAGAGATTTGTGATGTCATTAGTGCAAAGTGCTTTTCAGTCTGTGAAATAAATCCAATGATAACAACAATAATGATAACCAGAAATACGTGTATCGCAGAACCTCGCGAAACTTGGGGGAAGAGGCCCCTAAAATGTTAGAGATGGGAGAGAAGGAGAGAAATAGTAAATTGTGTAAGTGGAGAGGGTGGGTTTCAGCAGCGTCTGTAATAATGTAATGAGATATATTCAATCTCCTTTTGGTTGGAGTAAACTAGAACCAAGTGCCCTGGCTTTAAAAAGGATATGGCATTGAACTGAGGTTGCTATTGTTCAGGCAGCGTAGGCAAAGTTGTGTAGGTGTCGTGTTCACCCTATTTGGAAATTGGTGTGGCAGTGGATGACTGCAGGCTAATAAGTGATGTCATTTGCTTAATTACAGCTAAATTGTGCCATCTCCTATAATAATATTACAATTACTTTTGAAGGGTGTCAGTACACTTCCCCTGACCAAATGAATCTTAAACAATTTTTGCTGATAATGTCCTCCAACCTCCCATCACGGGCATCCTTTCACCCACTAATTACATGAATTTATCCTAATGTAAAGTACAAAATGGGTTGCTTTTCCAGGAAACCCTAATTGAAAAAATTATGCTATTCGAACATGTTTAACTTCTGTAAACTGATATATATCTATAAATCAAAGATCAGAATTTTTAATATTAGGGAACAATGAAAGTAGCATAGCAACCATACTAATATTCTGAGGAGATCTGAAATGCAGAATCTTTTTTTTTTTTAATAATGAAATCGACATGGAAGGCAAGGCAAAATTTACCTGCAATGACAGGTAAATTTTGGCTACGTTTGACTTCAAAGACACAGCTGTGTTACACGAGACGATTCGCAACGACGATTCTTTGGGTAACACAGCGTTGCAATGTTGGAACAATGTTGTAACAATTCTAAACAATGTCGCAACAATGTTGTAAGGCTGTGTTGCGCTAAAAATCGTCGTTTCGAATCGTCTCGTGTAACATCAACTTTAAGCTTTTTAGCTCACCCCCAAAACGCATAATTTATTACAAGCGGTAGAATGATCAAATCAAAATTTGTAGGCCCGGGCCTACAGGTCTGTGGGCTGGTTACGCCCCTGATAATAATAAATAACGTCAACTCTTTCAAGTTATTCCAGTTTTTCCCAGCTTAAATTATGAACCAATAAAACTAAAAAGGTCAGTTTTTTTTGTCCCGAACTTGTAGCTCTTTTTCATTCTTAACGTCTTTTATTGTATCGCTGATCATCAAGATGCTGAGTTGTTGATGATCATGACGTAGGCAATGACTGTAATGACGATAATGATAAAGAAGATGATGATGGATGATGATGATCAAGACAATAATCATCCTAATAATCACGGTTTCTGGAGGTTAATCTATAGTTGGGCTACCAAAAAGTAAAAACATTAAAGCAACGAGGAAGATTTCTAATAAAATATTTATTTCTAATTATTAACTGCAAATACGTGTATTACATTCCACTAGTGAATAAAATTACTATGTAGTGCCTTTTTATTGTAACAATTAGAAGAAAAAGGCGATTTTTCAAATTTTATCTTGAATAATAACTAACAGCGCAAACATCTTCGCAAGCCTCAAGGCAGCACCGTGATAGTTTTCGCAGCAAGACCTTTACACCATTAGTTCTAATCAAAACCAATATAAAGAAGGTCGGTTCAGTCTGTTAGACATACTCCAAAACGAAAAGCTAACATATCGTGACGATCTACTTAACAAAAAGAATAGGTTGGACTGTACTTTTTACGAAACAAAATCATGAACGATGAGGCCTTTTGGGCGGCAACTTCTGTTCCACCCTCATACCAAGGTTGTCAGAAAATGAATCAAGTGAACCTATTTTTTTCTTGCAAAGCCTTTTCCCCAGAAACAAACTCTTCCTTAATGTTCAGGTTAAAAACACAGGAACCATCAAAAGCGCTCCAAAACATCCAAGAAATCCCTGAAAAAAGAGAATATATGATTGTTAGTAAATCAAACATTTACGTGGTTGATAGCTAAGAAAAGTAACAAGGTATGTCGAAGATGCATTTATAGGTCAACGATTTTAGAAAAGTACTGGCCATAGCACTGAAAACATGTTTGAACGTTGCGGTATTATTGCTAGGCTGGAGGTGTCCATTTTTTTTAGTTCATTAGTTCTGATACATTGTTTACAGGTACCATTACGACACCGGAAGGAGGATCATGAGGTTATCCCTAAATTAAGATCTCTCCTTACAGATAACCGCCCACCCAGACAAGGAAAGGTTGGCCACACTACCGGGGTGGGTTCTTTTACGTCCCACAAGAGAACCATATATGAAAGTGCAGTGAGACAGGACCTACAGGTTTTCTTCCTTATCCGAGAAGACTAGAAAGTCTAACCGTTTGCAGCCTGCTTTTGGAATTTATGCCAAAAATGCTCAAAAAATGAACCACAAAGAACCTTGGCATAACAGCATGTTTATCAAAATACTAAAAAGAAAAACAGGAAAGGTTACAGTAGAACTGAATTCTAGAAAAATGCAAAGAACCATTCCTGTTGTATCTCTTTCATTATCTTCCTTAGCTAGGGTCGACTGCAGCCTCATTCTTCAGTCGTCCTCGGCGATTTCGGATGTAACGTCACCTTTCAAGCCTGTTTAGCGCGAACGGGCTTGGGGATCGAACGAAGCTGGTGTCCATTTCCAGGCATTTGAGAGAGTCCAGTTTGCTTCGGCCTCCTCCCATTTTAAGCGTAAGGAAATGTGGGAGGACAAATCGGCCGTTAATCGAGCCTATTGTCTATTTAGCGACTCATGAATTGGAAGACACTCTCAATCATCTAAGAACTACTTATTATTCTTAAAGACCGCGAGTATCACACATTATCTCAACTAGTAGAAAATATGCAAAAAGCATACTTACAATTGGAAAAGTCAGTAAAAAGTTTGCAGCAGAGGAAGTTTTTGGAGAAGTCGATGTGGGTGATCCTGCAAATAGATCACAAAAAAAGATTAAGTCGAGGGCCTGCTTTTAAACAAGAAGAAAAAGAAGAAGAAGAAGAAGAAGAAGAAGAAAGTTTTTTTTTTTTACAGATGGTTAGCTATTTCACAAAATGTGGTTTTCAATAGGGCACTGCATATGAAAAATAAAATTGCTACTGTACTAAAAATAACAAAAACAATCATATGAACTAAGAAAATTTCACACAAGCCGAGGAGAAAACGAACAACTACAGAAAACGTCAGGTGCCTATGTTTTATCGTCTAGGAAAAAAAATCAGAAAAGCCTTATGGGTGGGGGGGGGGGGGTGGCAACCACCCCCCTTGTACATCCGAGGGTTGAAACGGGTCACGAAAATTAACCACTGCAGGAAAGGTCAGGATGAACCATCTCATGCTACTCCTTGCCTACTAGGGATTTGCAGATGGTACGTACGTACTACCAATTTGCTTGTGGGGTCCAATACAATCAGCCGCTCAATGATATGTGCGGGTTGAGAAAACGAGTGTGTTCGGAAGGCAACTCAGACAGTCTAGTGACTACCCACTGACTACCAAGGACGTAGCTGTCTTTAAGTAATTGAGACCGGACTTAATAAAATATTGGATTCAAATGAGCTCATGTAATCGAATATTAAATAAGGCTAGCCTGTTCACAGACCCTCTATTTTCTCTTCAAAGTCCGTCGAGCGGGGGTGATAAGATATAAACCGTAGGGGAGAAAACAACGAAAAGAAAAATAAAACAACGTCTGTTAACAGGCTATAAAAAGGCGTGAAAATGCACCTAATACAGCTAGGTTGCAACAGAATGGCTGTCGAGGTGATGTGTAAAATTGGTTCATGATTCATTTGGAAAATTTATCATTGAACGCCATCTTGGTTTTTCAAGAAGATGCAAAGGGATCCCTTTTGTTTATATACTAGTTCGATTACCTGACATCTAGTAAACAGTTTTGTCCCTGTTTGCTTTGCTTTACTTCATCTTTTGTTTTGTTTTGTTTTTGTCTTATTCTGGGAGCGAACTTATGATAAGGAATGGGCCACCACTTTAATTTTGAAAGCCTTAAGTAGCTATGGAGCCAAGTGAAAGGCTCCTAAAAAAGAGTTCATATTATCTCCTTTCTACAATTCGGGCCTAAAAGGAAAAAAATGGATGGCTTACACCCCTGACTAATGACTATGATGACTCAAGACTTGGCTCGTTTTTATCAGTATTCCTAGCTACCTACTCAAATCGATTCAGTCGACTGGCTGAAGCTAAAGACTTATCTAAGTCTCCAGGTTCTAAAATATCCGTGGTGTTTTGTCATTTTTGAAATTGTGATTTAAGTGTAAAACGTTATCCAATAATCAGCCGATTAGTTTGCTACTGAAGACAAATTAATGAGTGTAGGAAGCTGTATTAACAAACAGACTCTGTACCACACATATAACTTATAAATTTAAACCTGACGAGCCTGTTGAAACAGATAATGTTCTATTTTGTTGGTGTTAGTAGCGATTTTGAAAGAGCTTTGAATTCGTCCATTAAAACATGTAATTTAACAGGTGGAAAATGCTTTTTCTTCAAATTTCCAACAAAGAACGGGTTTCACTTCAATCAAATTCCTTTAATAAAACACGACAAGCTGTTCATTCAAGTGGCTTAATGTACGGTTCATCCTAATCCTATTCCGAAGTAACTATCTGTGACTGTCACAACAAACTTAAAATATCCACCAAGTAATTTTGACAGTACTAATATCTTGATTTGGGTTTACGGTCACTTCGTTCTATGGTCAGATCGTTCCAAACCAGGTGACGTCTCATTTTATTAGTCACATCGTTCCACAATGTGGAGCACTCTCTTTTGGCTTCTTATTACCTTAAAGAACGTGGTATACACAGGAGTAATGTCCTTGTTACTACTCGTGGCTTCTGAGACTCGTGAAACGTTTCAACTGTATTGTTGAATTATCTGGCTATCGATCTGGCCTGGATCGATCTGACCATGACGCTATAACGTCTGTGACCAACGCCACAACACTAAACAGTAACCTACCGTTGGCTGGATATGAAACTCTGGTTGACATTACAGAGGTTGAAGAAGTCGTTGAATTTTCTGAAAAAGGGAGAATAAAATAAAATAAAAGGAACTAAACTAAACGCGAAAAGATTCAAACGGTTTGCGTAGAGCATTCCATATTTCATTAAATTCTCAACAGAAAACGTTCAGCGTAATTTAAATTCTTTGGATTAGGACATTGAGTTTCTATTTGTTTGATTTCTTCTTGTATTCACTTTGGAATACAGTGAAAGCTCGATATAACGAAGGGCCAAGGGACTACCAGAATTTGTTTGCTATACCGAGGTTTCGTTATATCGATGTTCTTTCACTATTACTGGGTAAAAAAACTCGGCGTTCAAGTTCGTTACATATACCGAGGACGTCTTTACATAGAGGCTCGTTATGTCGAGGTTCCACTGTAGATGGTAATTTAAAATTATAATATGCTTTCAATAAAAACTAGCCGAATCAAAAATCCTCACTCTAATCGTTATATTTGTCAAGTGCACCCATGCCATCGATGAAAAATCAAACAACAAACTAACTGATAGAGAAACTGTCTCACTCACCGTCGACTTTCAGGTGTATCACGTGCAACGTCGTATTGACAAAGTAATCGCGGCAAACACTCTTGAATTTAGCGTGAACTTCATAGGACCCTTCATCGTTAGACTTGGTCTCGTTAATACTTAGCAATAAACGCGATGCATTGTACTTGTAAAACCTCGACCGCTCGCAGAAGCTCTCCCCTGCATTGCAGTTTGCTCTTTCGGATCCTGCGTTCAATGTGAAAATTACTTCATTCCAATTTTTCGTCACGCGATAAAATCCAAAGCACTCGCTGGTATCATTTGGTCTACAGAAGGACATTTCAGCCACTTCTCCAACACTGACGTTAACTTCTTGAACGTTATAGTAAGATACGTTGCACGAGTCACCTGTGAAAAAAAAAATACTCACAGTGATTATTAGGGTTTTACTTGTACACATGCAAATCGCGGCCGGTTCTCTCGTGCGCATCATAATTAATCGCTCCGTCAAAGCGAAACTCACTTTAACACACGTATATGAGCATCGACCCTACAAGGACGCTTTGAAAGAGTGAGAAATATCATTTTGTAAAGCACCTAACTAAAAATATTTCATTGTATTTGTTACTTTAAATTAAAGTGTTTGAGTCGAAAGCTTAGAACTCGTGCCGGGTACCATGCAATTTCTGTTAGGTACGTTTTAGTTACAAGTTGTTTAACTTCGATTTGGCTAAACTTAGCCTTCCTAGACTAAGACAAAGCTCAGCCAGTCAAAGCGCTAAAAGGAGAACACACTCACCCGTAAGATATGACTATGACAAGACAAGACAAGTAAAAAAGAATATACTTCTACCTCATGCCACACGGCAAAAATAAGAATAGTCTGCTAGAACAATATATTTAAGAAAATCTATAAGCTTCTAGCTGCAGATTTGAACAAAGTGAAAGCGCAATTGCCCTAAGGCACATATAAACGACTTAGAACAAAGTTTCATTGTGTCAAGACCTACCTGATATCGCCGAGTAACGGCTACTTAGTGCAAGAAAAGCAATTATGGTGAAACTATGCCAGAATCCCATTGTCAGACGTTATTTAGTTTTCAATGAGCAGTTATTCGAGAAATGTTTCTTCTAAAGGTGATGAGTGCCATTGACGAAACTCCTTCAGGTATGGAGTAAATAAGGCTGCATAAGTGCAAACACGGAATGGAATCTTTGTAAAGAGTGAACGTCTTTCCTCGAACGATTGATGCAGTCTAAGAGACGCGGATACACTAGTCTCGAGAAGGGGAACTACCGAAACCGTTATCTTCAGATTTCACAGAAATGGAGCTCGAAATCCACGATAAGGACAGGTTGCAACTCTTAGGAAGTTTGTTACGATTTATACCAGTTTCCAAGAATTTTACGCTTGGCTAGTTTCTAGGAAAAAGTGAGGTCAAAAGAGATCAAACCCACCCAACAACAGAAAACCAATCTCGAAATAATCGGTACTCTTGTAAGCGTATGGGACGAATATCATATTCCACATTCAAACGTTTCTTTTTTTAAAATTTGTCTAGTTGTATGGCTTATAGAGTAACGACTATGACGACGTTCTAATTTATTTAACATTTTTTAGTCCACCGCTTTAGTTGTTTTTCGGTTAGTGTTAGAATTCAGATTCGTAGTTAAGTGGTCGGTTCGATCTTTTGCTGCACTTTGCTCAGCTCAAGTGAATACATACCCATTTAGTAGAGTTTCAATGATTTGAAAAAGATTTTTGGACGAAAACTCTTGGCTTTAAGCCGAGACCCTCGTCTAGAGCTCAAATTTCACATAACTTTAGCTTGGCTTATAGCCGAATAAATGCGGTAAATAAAAATATTGTCGTCTCAGTGCCGATAAGAAAAGTGTTATGATGATGATGATAATGATGATGGTGATGGTCATGGTGGACAGGTGTTGGTGGTTGTGATGATGATGATGACGACAAAACAGAACTCTGACAATTGTCTTTCTAGGTACGGTCTCTCTCCTTGCGGGTGGAAAAGATTGATCCTGGATATAGGAAGAAAAACAGGAAATAGTTGATCATAATAGGAAGTACTAAGTAACGTGGAAAAGAGTTTAAGGGACGGACCATTAGAAAACTTATGGGGGGAGCGGGCGAAGTACAAAAAAAAAATTCTTGCAAGGGAAAATTAAATGAAAAAAAAATTCTTGCACGCCAATAAACCCTAAGAAATATTCATGCAAGGGCCTGAAAAAAATTCATACAAGGAATTTGATAACGAAAAAAAATTCCTGCAGCTCGAAAATTCCCCCCCCCCCCCCCATAACTTTTCTAATGGTCCGTCCCTAAGATAAGAGTCAATTAAGTTATTGACGTAATTATTATTTTAGCAAACGTTGAATGTATGTATTAAATTTCGTCTGCTACTGATATGATAAAGACATCCATTAAGTTCAAATCAGTGCTTGCATATACAAAATGGGAGTAGCTTCCTTTCTATCCTCAAGTTTATCAAAACGTTTTGCCCAGTTAGAATTTTAATGTCATTTTATTTCACACAGCTAAATGTATATACATAATCAAAAGATAAAACCTGCAGAATGAGCGACTAAAGTCGTAATATTGGCAATTCGTGGAGTGATTCTCAAACTAAGAAAACATCCCTTGGTGAAATGGTCTAGCTTTTAATCCAAGTTCTTACCTGACGTAAACATTCTCTCCATTGCAAGAAGAAAAGAAAGGCCGACTAAAACATCCTTAGCAGATTTGCACTGCATTTTCATATCAGGTATGCGATTAAAGAAGGACCAAAGATTCTTAGCAATGGAGGCAGAGTGAGATATGTAAGAAGGATCTGTACACAACTGGCGGTATTCACCAATGGTGGCCATACATAGCGAGAAAAGCCGTAAACAACATTCGTATTTTGATGCTCCGCACAAAAGCACCGTTCAGTCGATCAGAAGGGCTTTCGAACGATCGAAAACATTTCTTGGAAACGGCCAGGGTTACTTTTACTTATCCAATTGGAACCTTATACCAAGTGAACGTTTGACACTGCATTTTTTGTGCCCAAGACAAGTCGGATTTCCAACACTATAGGTATAATGCGTACTAATTATTTAACTGCTCGCTTTTTCATAAATTGTTTATTGCATTAATGAAACTCAAATTTTTAGTGGAGGGAAGAAAGATGTCTGAGTCATAATAAGCCATTCACCAGTGTTTCAGTTTCTGCAACCAATGATGTATAAGCTTGCTGTCGCTCAGCAAGCGTTAGTACTACTCATGCATTGTCTGCATTTAAACTCATTTTGAACTCATTTAGTGCGCATCATCAGCGGTACAACTTACTGAAAGTTGTGCCACCGTGTAAGGGTCGTCTTCACAAGTCTTATGTTGTCAGAACCGTAACTTCTAAACGTCCGGTAGATGATTCGGTCGAAACCCGGAATAAATACGAGAATGGTTAACGGCCGCCAACTACTTCCCTTAATAGACGTTTGCGCTCTTAAAAGCTCTAATAAATGCCAAAAAAGCTTAACAAAGTTGTGAAAAGAAGATCTGTAGCTACTGAAATGGGGCACTAGAAAACTTGTAGGCTTTTCAAAAAGTTATTGGAGAATCGCTTGAAGCCATCTATCAGTCTTCGATTCTAGGAAAATGACCTCATTGACCTTAACTAAAAAAGCAAGCACTAAATACTTCCTGTTTTGTTGCAAGAAAATGAAACTATGCGTCCTTGATGGAATATGCTTGAGTGTAACAAGTTTTTTCCTTCTTTTCTTCTCCTTTGGTTAAAACTTGTTGTATTTCCCTGGGGGACGATAGGGGGAAACTGGATGAGTTATTATGTGTTTATTAATAGGCAATAACCTTATGGCGTCACTTTTGGATATAACTACACGGATCTATTCCTTTTTCCTATCATATTTCAAGTTGGTAATCCCAGCGAGGTCTAAATAACAAAACCCCTAATCTCCATAAGAAAGAAAAACGCTGAAGAATTTCGGTAGTGGTAGTATAATGAAGTCTAAAGTTGTGGAGATAGCTTTGTTCGCCAGCTACTAATGGCCTTCTTCTATGCGTCACCCACTTAAATATTTGCTTTCGTGTTAAGGTTAGCTGGATCGTGCGCATGCATTGACTGGTTATTATGTGGCAGGCATCAATGAATAGAAGGTTTTCTCGGAAATTTCACGGAAGCGTTATTTTGTTTTCTTGACCAATGAAATTGCCACAGTTGAGCTTGATGGCGCTGCTGGTGCACATAGGGAGGACTTATTGAACGACAGTGATTGTCGCCAATGCTTTTATATGACTAACTCGTTTAAATTATATCAAAAGACAGCTATAGCTATAAAATTTTCAACAAACATTTCTACGATGCTTTTCTTGCTTCATGTCATTTTGAACTTATGCATTTCAGGTAAGTTAAGCAAAATTTTTTTATTTTTGTGATTCAGTCCGTAGCTTCAAATCTGCTGCCTTCGAGCGAATAGCTACTTCCGGGAGTGTAAAACTTGATGCTTGTATTTTTTTTATCTATAAGTAAAACTACTACGCATATACTTCCTCCGAAATATTGTATGGGTATTGCAAAATTCCGAGTATAATTTTCTAAAGGAAATAATATAATTCGCAGAGGGCCTTTATGATCGCTCCTTCTGCAGGAAAGTGAAACAAGGATTGTTTACCACTCATGGGCTGGAATCAAAGGTGTGTTAGAAGAAATGAAAAATTAATTTCCATTTGGATGAATTAATCAGTTAATACACAAACTGAATAATGTGAGAATTTGATGGATCATATCAAATTGTGCCTTAATGATTTTGCAGGCCTCTATAATAACGGGCCAGTCAATGGATAACGAGCACATAAAAAGGTTAAAAAGGGGAAAAATAGAGAATGGCAAATAAGGTTATTGATAGGTCTGAAGTTATTTGAACATTCCAAGTCCTGGTCATCACCCGTTCCCCGTTTTAGTAACATCCGAACTACAAGAGCTAGTT